ATATATATATATATATATATATATATATATATATATATATTATATATATATATATATATATATATATATGGAAAAATCCAAAAGGGTTAGTGTTTTTACAATCGAGCAGACGATACATCCTCTGCATTTATTCTCCACGACTGAACTACAACGACATCTTCCCAGATTCACCACCACTGGACAACAAACTACGATATTCTTACTATTTGCTAAATATATTTTCCGTAACATATTCCCAATTCAACGACCTACCGACGAATCGACAGTAAAATTATTATCGAAGGCAACGACAAGGAGTTTGTTAGTTGATCATATTGCTTGCTTTTGTGTAACTCTTTATCACTACTTACCAATTTATCGTGTGATATATGTATACTTTTTATACATTTCTTTGCTCTTAATCAGTAATATTGTGCAAGAACAATATTACATCCCGAATAAATCTATATCGCTAGAAACGAGTTCAACAGATTAGCTTTCCCGACAGTGTCTTCCTATAATAAATACCTTATAAATTATTCAGTAAATTCATGGCGATCAAATGTGGAAAAAAGCCATCATACATCACTCTCACAGTTAAAATAGTAGACAACGAAGGATGACAAAAATCTCAATCTCATGATCATCTTTTTCAATGTAAAATTAATCCTCGAGAAATGGAACTTGCGCAATATTTCCTCCATTGATTGTTTCCGATTCAAATTAAAAAAACTACAAAGCATGAGGGTAAATTGCTTCATCGTTGCATATGAATTGTGCTATAAATGCAACCTTTATTAAGTTAGAACTGACTAATTTTTATTGGTGCTTTGTGAAGATCAAAAGTCAACAAATTCGATATCGGTTGGTAAACAAATTTGATACCAGGATGATAGTTTCACACCAACCAATATAAAACCATAACTAAATTGCTATGGATTGCATCCGTAGAACTCATCATGCCCGATGCAAATTATTTGCTTTTATTTGACACAAGCTATGTTTCATAAGATTTTCTTTTCATCGTGATTCATTTCCTGATTGACGCGTAACTTGTTGGGACATGCTTGTTTCTCTTTTCTGATTCCGATTTTCTTAATTTACTCGTCAAATAATTGAGATTTCGCTTCTATTTCTAAGCAAGAGTAATTCTTTATGAAACTTTCATTATTTACCGTGGAAAATCGATATTTTAAACTATTTTGGTTATAGTTAATAAATAGTTTCTGCAGAAGATTAATCTGCCTATTAATCTGGAAGCAACAAATTTTGATAAGTTTCTGCACCGAAGTCACGGAGTTTATTCTAATTATTAATAAGCCACTCTGGAAATGAAAGAGGGCCAAATGTATGTGCAATTTATTGAAAAAAAAAAATCTACCTGAGGTAACACTGTGCATTTCATCAAAACAACTAATGCTGGCTTTTGCTACTGATAAATTTACAGCGATTTCTTCATAATTGTTAGAAACATATGGCTGAAAAGCTCTTAGCCTCTTTTCACTTCCGCCTATCCATCTTTTCCAGTTACATGCGCTCTTTAGATCTCCTATAAGATACACTATGATACAACAGTCAGTGTTATCGAGCCATTTGTAATTAAATGCCATCGATAAATTGCATTACTCCTTTGTGTGTCGAAATAATAATCCTTCCTCCATTACAGAAAACAAATTGTTGGAAGTTTTCCCGTGAAAATTTCCTTTGAAAGCTATTTGTATTCGGGTCATATTGCATTTTACTAATGAATTTTTTCTATATTTTAGGCGTATTGTAAGAGTTCTGCAATCCAAAATATCTGTTAGATTTTGTAGGTCTTTTTTTAGTCTAGTTCTTGCAATTTCACAATTTAATGCTATAGTTCCGCTCATTCTCACTTTCATATTTCAAACTAAAAAAAAAAACAACGGTCGGGAAAACCAATGTTGCCGAACATATCATTTCATAGAGAAGGGTTTGAAGGTCCTCTTAACTGGCTTTGCATGCCGTTGCAAAATACAATTTCATAACTCGAGTTAAGCTTGCATCTTACATTTTCAGCCAACTACATCGAATTCTTGCATGCAAACGTTATTCTCGCAGCTTCCTGGTTATATCCACAACAATGCAAGTTTCATTTTTGCGCAGTTTCGCCATCGCCAGCTCAACGGCAACAAAAGATCCCGTCCTAAAATATTATGCCTTTCCTTTAATTAATGTTGACATCCTAGCTTTTTGTATAGCATATTAAAAATTTTTGAAACATTCATAATGTGATTTAAAAATTCAGCAAAACCTTCCAATGCCAGCGCTGCAATGAACGATTATTGGTTTTCTTCCGTAATATTTGTGCAACATGCTGTAAATTTCGCGACATGTGGAGGTTGAATCAGGAACGGAGTGATCTGGCCATCCTGCGTAAGCAATGTGAACTAGCTATAAAAATTAATTTATAAAAAAGCTTTT